AAACATTTAAGGAAAACCAACAACATGAAAGAGAAACCAAGATGAACGATGTGATATGATCCAGAATAGAGATAATTCTCTAACAAAAGAGACCTCTAGAAACATTCTAATTAGTAATCTTAGAGAGAGAATATTAGAATCATTAAACAAGCACAAGCTGATATAAAGAAAACCAATCATAAGAAGCTGGATATTAAAAATAATTATCAAAACAAAGAACCCACCCAATAGGCAAATATATACAGAAAATTAAGAAAAATGGCTAATGAACATATGAAAAATTACTTAATCTCACAAGTAATCAAGGAAATGTAAGTTAAAACCAGGTATTTTTCACCCATCAGATTGGCAAAAATAACATGGCTGTTTTAGTAATTATCTTAGTTGAGGCTGCAGTAACAAATTACCATAGACTGGGGGGCTTAACATTTATTTCTCACAGTGGTGGAAGCTGAAAGTCTGATACCAGGGTGGCAGCATGGTTGGGTTCTTGGTGATGGCCCTTCTCTTGTTGTATTTGCACATGGTGGAAAGCAGAGAGAAAGGGGAAGCAAGATCTCTCATGTCTCTTCTTATAAGGGCACTAATCCCATTCATGAGGGCTCTACCTTCAGGACCTAATTTTCCCCCAGAGGCCCCACCTCCTAATACCATCACATTGGGGGTGAGGGTTTCAACATACAAATTTTGGGGAGACACAAACATTTAGCCCATAACAGTAACCTAATGCTGAATAAGAAAATGACTCTGTGTCTTTAAACAAATCATTATGTTTCATGGTTTCTGTGCATTAGAAATTCAGCAGTGGTTTGGCTGGGCAGTTCCAACTTGGGGCATCTCATTCTCATGAAGCTACAGTCATTGAAGGCTTGACTGGGGCTGGAGGATCCACTTGTATGGCTGGCAAGTTGGTGCTGGAGGTTGGAGGGAGCCCTCAGTTCCTCTCCACAGACCTTGGGAGGCCACATGGCATGCAACTGACTTCCTCCAGAGCAAGCAGTCCAAGAGAACAAGGCTTTTTAGGACCAAGCCTCAGAAATACCAGATGGTCACTTTCACCATATTCTATTGGACACACAGACCAGCTCTAATTTAGTGTGGAAGGGAAAACACAAAGACGTGAAAGCCAGGAGGATCATTGGAGGCTGGCTACCACAATTGGAATATTTAGTTTTGGCAAGAATGGGAGGAAATGGGTGCTCTGATACACTATTGCTAGGTGTGTAAATCTCAGTTAGAGGGCGACTTGACAGTAGATAGTAAGATTTAAAATATACATATCTTTGCATATATTCTAGCTGAAATACGTATAAGGATGTTCACTGCAGTAGTGTTTGCAATAACAAAATAAGAGAGGAAAATCTAAACATTTGTAAATAAGGGAATAATGGAAAAATAAATTAAGGAATACCGTGGAGCAGTTAAAAAGAATGTGCCAGATCTGACTGACCACGGAAAGATTTCTAAGACATATTGTTAAGAAAACAAACAGAAAGAAAATACACTTCCATTTACATAAAAACAAAAAAACCAAATACATGAAAACTGATTTTGTGTGTGTGTGTACATGTATGAATATGAACATCTAGAGGAAAGCTCTGGAAAGACACATGTAAACATTTTGGCAGTTACTTCTGAAAACGGTGGAGTGTGGGCAGCAGAGGCAGCACTTTTACATTATAATATTGTTTTGTTTGAATTTTTAACAAAAATGGCTTTCATAATTTAAACATTTAAAATCAGTAAGTAACAGACTTTAAGTGACAACCCAAAATGCCCTCTTATAGTAAAGAATATGAGCTTTAGTGGTTAGACTTGATGATATTTATTTTAGCTCTTCAGAGGCCCTTTTTGGCTTACTTATGGATTTTGAGTTGCTGCTACAGTTTTGTGATCTCAGGGCAAGTCTTTAGAAAATTAAGAGAAGAGAGCAAGGTCTCCACTTCTGTTTTCAATTGTGGTTCTGAAATGAATAGGAAATGGCTATTAGACACAAAAGTATTAAAATACTGGCTCTCAAGAAGTAGAAGCAACCCAAGTGTCCCTCGACTGATGATTGGATAAAGAAGATGTGGTATATATATACAATGGAATACTACTCAGCCATAAAAAAGACAAAAATGTCCCATTTGCAACAACATGGATGGACCTGGAGCCTATTATGTTAAGTGAAATAAGCCAGAGAGAGAAAGAGAAACACTGCATCATCTCACTCGTATGTGGAATATAAACCAACACACAGAGAAAACTGTATAGTGGTTACTAGGGGCAAGGGGGTTGAGGGGTGGGCACAAGGGGTGAAGGGAGACATGTATATGGTGATTGGCAAAAAATAACGTACAACCAAAATTTCACAGTGTTATAAACCATTAAGACATCAATAAAAAAAAAATAATGGCTCTCAGCCTCTCAGTTTCGTCATCTATAAAATGGGGATAAGATACACTACCTACTATACAATGCTGCTAGGATCAAATGAGACACTAAAGTCACTGGCACTTATTAGACACTCAAATGTGGCCATTTTTACTTTAGGTCCATTTTAAATCTCTTATCAGAGATAAAGCACTGTTTTGGTCAATATAAATGATGTGAGTGGATACATGCTAAGTGGAATAAACCCAATCATGACTTGTATTGGTTTTGTCTTATTCTTCCCTCAAAAGTATTTAAGGAAGAAGTACCACCTGGATCAGAGCAATGAGCTTATAAGAGTGTATTCATTTGGACTATAAAATCAAAACACAATTTATTGTGTTGTAGAGGAAAAAAAAATCTTAAAAAAATTATTACACAAATACCAAAGCATACACCATATCTGGAGTAATCTATCATCAAATTACAATAAATTTATTCTCCAGAAAAGCTTAACCTTAGTTAGAAAAATCACTGGTTCTAATATCAATTTTAATACCTCCTCAATGTGAACATTCCCATCCAAGTATCTATATTCATGAAACACCTAATAAAACAGCAACCCACAGACAGGTCTATAATTCTGTAACCCTACAACTTGGTAGAAAAAAGACTGAGATATATAAATGAATCTTGCCTATGTCACTAATCCATCAATGTTTGGATAGATCATTTTATGTCTCTGAGTTCGAGTTTCCTCCGCGAAAAGTGAAGAGTCTGGGTTAAATGATCTCTAACAACCCTTCCTACCCGAAAAGTCCATGATAAAGTATTCTCTAGCGCTTCCTTCATCTGAGGCACTTTTGCTTGTAAATTGATCAAAGCATCAGATTAACTTCTTTTTTTTTTAAAGATTTTATTTATTCAGTTTTTCCCCCCAAAGCCCCAGTAGATAGTTGTACGTCATAGGTTCACATCCTTCTAGTTGCTGTACGTGGGACTCAGCCTCGCGTTGGACGGAGAAGTGGTGCCTCGGGGCGCTCCCGGGATCCGAACCCGGGCCGCCAGCATCAGAGCGCGTGCACTTAACCGCTAAGCCACGGGGCCGGCCCTAGATTAACTTCTTGTTCATTTTAAGAATGCGATTTCCAGCAAAAGACTTACTTTACAAAAACACTGCAACAAAAAGCAGACTGTGTAAAATGCATCACGATGGGATCTAACCTGAAACCAAGGTATAAATCCTTTTCAAACAATGAGCCATGGCAGTAGGACGCTAATCAATCAGAGCATGTTTGAAGAACTGGGTGCAGTTATTCCCTCAGGGCTTTTGCACCACTCTTTAGTTACAACCGACTATGTGATTCTAAACGAGAAGATCCTAAATGTTTACTATATAAAGCGTATCCTAATATTAGTGCCAGTTTACCAAGGGGGTCTGCACTATCTGCCCTTCTTTGCCTAAGTTACTTGTGTCTTATTGGTTTACTGTCCCTTAGCTGTACACATTATTGAGAATTGTTTTGTCTCATACCTTCTGTACTATTTTCAAACTTTTCTGTATAATAAAATATCTAATAACATGCATTGGGTACCCTTGGGGTTGAAACTCTCATGGAATACATTTAAGAAAAGTGTGAAACTACCTTTTTTCAACAGTTCAACTCTATAAAAACATGGATATTTCAATTCTAATCATTTTTCCGCTTAAAGTAAAAATTAGAATGTATCCTTTTCACAGATAAAGTACATCCAATTGAGTTCCCACATTTTTATTACCATCTTTATAAAGCTGCTTGTAGATCTCCAGATTTTCTCATGAAGGTTAAGAAGGTTGGGCCACATGATCATCAAAATACTCACTGTGCCAATACCAAATACCTCAAGACAGGTAAGAGTCAAGTCTCTCCAATTTTATGTATTTGGCCACTATACAATGCTATGATTAACTCAAGAGTCTCAGAATTCCAGAAAACTTTCTAATATTCAAGACATATTAATACTTTATATGCACAAACTACTTTTTTTGAAATCTAACTTTTTAGCAAGAAAGTGATCCTCAACAGAGTTTGACTACAATTAAAAAGCAAATATAAGACCTTTGTTTCAGGATTTTAGTACATATTTTATAATGCATGTAAATGTTCTACTGACTTGCACAGGGTGAGAATCTCTGAGAATGTACTTTTCTTGTATGAGGAGTTGAAAACTCACTTTACAGGTTATCACAAAAGCATTTAGAGGACAGGGGCTGTGTCTTTTTCACCATAGCCTCCTTCACAGTGCTACCACAATGCTTCTGTACACAAACACCTAATAAATGTTCACCAAATTTAATTGGAGAGGTTATATGGAACATACACAAAAAACCTGTTAACATAGCATATAAATACTGTATAATATATAGTTACATAGTTTCAAAGTCAAGAATATTTTATTCAATGAGGTAGATAAAAATACTCAAAAGTAAACTCAAAAATAAAACATTTTCTGAAGCATCCACATATTATGGATTCATAATGTATCTTTGAATTTATGCAGTCAGTGTTAAATGTTTTCATAACTCTTGTCTATTCATGCGGGTTTCAATGTTTAGGATACTTATTAAAGATTTTTATTTAGCCTAAGTAACCACTAAAAAGATGTAAGGCAAAATAATTCATTTTATTTCTTAAATGCCTATGTATTTACAATCATAAAAATTTTCATGCATTATAACTTATGAGATACTACACTTTCACATTTATTAAAAATTAAAAATCTTAGGAAATCTAATTCAATTACTTACGAAGAAATTAATGGCTGATCAGAAAATGTCAAATTACTATTATTAGCATAAGATTTTACCATAATGATGAATAGCACTTAATCATGAATACCTTCATTTTACTTTTAAAACTATACTTACAGTTTTTAGATTAAAATCGCATATTGGGTCAATAAGACTTTACTCCAAATTATAGTCACATATGGAAGGGAGCTTTTAATTCCAGGTTTCATTATGGTCCATAGTATAAAGATATATTTTCATGAGGATTACATGATGGATAGCCAGCAAAAGAAATATGCTAGCAGAGGGCAGTAAATTGCCAACTAAGCATGCACTGAACCAAAAGACTACTTTAGAACATGGTTAAGTCCTTGATTATTGCCAGCTTTTCCATAATGTTTAGGTTCTCAAAGGTCACTGAATTTTACAATTATCTCCAAACAATTTTCTTCATGGTCATTTAAGCTTTGTCTAAAAAGCTGTGTGTGTTGCCAAGCAAGAACACCATCTCCTTTGCTTAATTCTGCTTCCAAAATAACTTCACTGGCACCAGAAAAATCATGATAGGAGCGAAGAGTTTTATCTGTTGAAGAAAAAAAAATTAACACTTTGCTTTTGGTAACTTAAAGAACATCAAGAGATAGCTTTGGAATGCATTTTATATACCTGACTTGCAGGTAAAAATCAAGGAAATGTGTCCTTTGAAACAAAGAAATGATTTTTCTCCTGCCATTTGTGTTTCACAATAAAAAACATAAGCCCTTCTATTACAATGAAGTTATACAGGTTTTAATTTTTAAATTTTTTTTTAGTGCAATGAATGAATAACTCTCAGGTATGAAAAATTCAGAACTACATCTCAAATAAATACGATTATTCTTCAGAGTGTTAAATACAAACTTGATGATTAATTCTCCAGTCAAATGCTTACCGCCTGTCAGTTCTACTTCTGCTGTATCAGATCGCAATTTCCACTGTATTGTTCCAGTCTGAAAGGTTTGACTACTTGTTCTAATGGAAATGCCATCTACTTTTAGGCCAACTGACCCACACTCAAACTTCCAGGAAATATAAGCGTAAGATGATCCTTCCTGTCGGGCTAAATACACCTACAGAGTAGGAGGGGAAAAAGGAATTGTTAGAAATAATGAAGTGGTATAGAAGACATATGGTCGAAGTCTTCTTGTCACAGGGTACTATGTACAAATGAATATTAAAAACCTAATTTTTCCCCACTGAAAAGATTTTTACTGCTAACATTTTTTCATTTTATTAGCCAATTTTCCCTATAGTATCTTTTGCTCTGGAAGAAACATATTATTTGAACACAGGTGCCTCAATAAGTATAGCCCTAAAGGGCTGCATGCTAACCAAATTTTGGTAAATCATATTCTCTTTTAAATTAGTAAGTCCAGTTATTTAAAATGAACTTTATGATGAATCCTGCTGAAAATGAAAAATCCTTTTAAATGCAATTATTCCTTAATGTATCTTCTTTTCTAAGTCTGGATTTTCAGATAAGCTTTCCTAGAATGAGATGGACCATATACTCTAAATCAAGGAAAAACCTCAGTCACTGCTAAGTAATGGTTTACAAGGTAATTCCACTCTTGACTCTCTAAATACTACGCTCCCCATTCCTTCCTCAATGCACCTTACCACTTAAATCTATACTATTTAAGACATCAAGTTTACTGGCTGCTTACAGCTCATCTCCTCTCATAGTTTCATACACTCTTCAAGATGTTAAATGAAAACTGACATCCACAGCCTCGGTCTTTCACAGCTAACTCCCTTTACCTAGGCTCAAACCGCTAATAATCTGACTCTTAAATCATTTATCCCTGATGTCCCAACTCCCCCAAAAACCCAGACATTTCTTTGAAATAAGTCTTGAAAAAATCCCTTTCTTCATTTATACTGCACTTACCACTATAGTCATGACTTTATGCTCATCTTTCTGGAACTGCCTAATTAATGTTTTCAAAATCCTACTTCCTTCATAGCATGTGCCTGGTCTAAAATGTAGAGCAGGTACCTGGCTCTTGCATTAAATCCAAACTCTTAGCTTTCACGGTCCTCCAGAATTTCATCCCACATGAATTGCCAATACTCCCTTACCCCAGTGTAACTATTTCAGGTGTACTTGTATGATTTAACTTCACCAAATTATAAGCTCTCTGGGACACAGGTTCCAGATTCATAGGAGGGTTTAATAAATAGTATTTAAGTATTAAAAATCTGCATACACATATTCTTTTAGAAACATCTAATCTACTTCTCAGGGGAAAATAGTTGGAGTACCACACAAAACACACGTGCCACGGAAATGTCCTACTCCATGTACTAGTCTAGTCTTTAGTCATCAAGTAAAAAAATCAATCACTGCTAGCATTCTATTGATATTCTATTCTATTTGGTAACCTATAGCTATTTTTCTTCTAGGTTAAATATGTCAGTTAATTTAATTTGAAAGTTTTTAGAATCAGTGAGGTAGAGATTATAAAACAACTAAACACTCTCCAAGGAAAATGATTTGAACTCCTTAGACTAGATATTTATAATCAACTATTGTTCTGGATGGCAAATGGAACTAGACATATGGAACTGTCGACTGCTCCACTCAAGTTTAGGGCAACCTCACTATAACATCCTCTGACGCTCTCGTGTTCCTACCACACGCTCCTCTCATAGCTGTTTGTAAGGAGACACTGGGGCTCAGGATTGCACCAATGCTCCCTGGGAGTTGTTAGTTTCACCTATCTTAAACTACTGGCCATGCACGGATTATCCATAATTTAATTACTCCTTAGAAGGCGTGGCTAGTAAAGGGGATTATCTGGAAAAGATGAGCCAAACAGAGGGGTTACTGGAAGAAAGGTGGTTGGAAACAACTAAAGGACTGGGGGAAAGTAATCTTATGACAGAAATAAATGCATTCAAATTTATGTCTCCATATATACTTCTATGTCTTGAGTATTTTCAGAGCTCAGTAGTTTCAAAGGTCCCTGCAAAAGTGTGGGTATAAAATATGATAGGCTGAAGCGAGGTTAACTTCAAATTTCCAGCTTACCCCAAGAACTGCCTTAATTAAACCTTGGGGGTCCAGAACAGAACTGTGGTTTTAATAATTACAGAAGATTTATAATAGCTGTTGAACCCATTTGACAGAATTGCTTGTTCTAAGATTTACATTTTTCAGTCCTAAAGACATCACCTTTTAAGACTCTAAAAAGTTAAAGGATAGGATGGAATTCATCATTGAATTCTTAAATGCTTAAACAAACATTCAAACATATTGTGAACAAATAGAAGGTCTCTTAGGCTAAAGAAACAGTGTATGGAAATAAAACAGACCCTATTTATATTGAAAATTCGTGTCATCTTGTTCAAATATATTCTGTTTGTAGCATTTTAACTGACTTATTTTAACTCAGCATTTTTAGAGGTGGTAGGAAGCTACCAAGAATACGTATATCCAGTTTGGTAATCTTAAATGTACCAAAATAATAGGATTTATTTAAACCTCCAGTTGTGGTCCTGGCATGTGTAATACCAACAGAACCAGTAATTATAATTTATTCAGGAGAAAAAAAAACTTTATAACTTCTCAAATATTCAATCGTTTGGTCTAGATGAAAAAGAAAAAAGCATTTTTGTAACTGTTGATTGTTCCTAACTTCCTGAGTTATTTTACACAAATTTTTGTCTGTTGGCTTTTTTAATTCATAGGTGTCATTTATTGTGTGCAGTTCTACATGCTTGATTTTGCAATTTGTGGGACTACTAAGAGATGAGTGTTGCTACTCTACTTTAGCAGTAATGGTAGTAAAATCAGAAGTCATGGAGTTTTTCTTCTACAGACTGAAATCTATGCACACTCCCTTTCCCCACCATGATCCACCCTTATCCCCTTCGGCCTCCATAAGGACATACAGGCATATCAGAAGCCGTGGGTGGGAACAAGACCAGTGTGTCTATGGCTTAAGGTCAAAGTCACACCACTCACAATGTACACACACGAAACTTGTCCTTTGGGTTGTGGCTGTCACTGCTATTTTCAAGACTGAGAACAATTAGCATGTCAGCGTCTTTATGTATTTCACATTCTACAAAAGATCTTCACTTAAAGACTTTCTGATCGCTACATGCCAGGCTGGTATGCCTGCTGCTGTGGTTTCCTAGTTCAGGTTGGACTGCACTGTTTGAAACTGTTCTTTAGTATGCTTTGAAAATTACTCTTCTGCTTAGACTGCTAAGATTAACTCTCATAAAGTTCACCATACAGCAGATACCCGGAAGTCAGTCATTCCTACAGATATTCAGCAGAGCAATTGTATTTCAAGAGATTTTAATTCAATCCTGGTAAACCAGTATTGCTCATGAATCTTATTTTTGGTTATTCCGTTTTATCACTGAGAACAAACAGAAATCACTGTCAGTTCCCACTGTATTTAAATCTTTGTATACTATGCTTCTGATTTATTCCATTTGCAGCCTCTGGAATTACCGCTGGATCACTAGTGTGATCTTGTCCTTCTCTTGCCTGAACTCTTGCATGGTTTCCTATTACGTAATTGCAAGGTAATCCAAGTCCCTGGGACCTGACAACTGTTTACCTTTCTAGTCTTATTTCCCACTATTCTCGTCCCTAATAGTCCCTACTACTTACTCTTTCCTGAATATACCAGATGTTTCTCACCTCAGTGCTTTTGCACATGCTATTTCTCATGCCCCAAACACCCTTCCCTTCCACATCCTGTCCCTACACTGAGAAACTCTCCCTCTGCCTCCTCCTTCAAAAGCCTGCTTAGATATTTTTTCTTCTGCAAGGCCTGCTCTGACTCAAGAAGGGACAGTGGTGCTTCCTTCTGTCGTCTCTCCCTTTGTATCATATACAGACCCATATTCTTCTAGCACTTAACCTCATTAATCTGAACAGTTGGTCCATGTGTTTTTTTCTTATACTAGTTTAGCTCACCTTGAGGCTTGTCTCTTAATTTACCATTACATCCTAAGTACCAAGCACAATGTCTGACAATGTGCATGTTTACCGAATGACTAAATGAATCAATTCTTTACATAATACCATGTACCAAAAAGTGCTAAAATGACTCTAGTGCCAAAGAGAATAATAAAAGTACTCAAAAATGAAAAGTATTTAAGAACATCCAAGGGACATAGTCTCAATGAAGACAGAGTATCTATGGTGCTCTACATACCCCTAGGAGAGTGGAGAATTCATGCCATGTACACTCACTCATTCTCTCTTACATTCACCAATCTTTACTAAACATTTATTGTGTATCATGTACTATGCTAGATATATGAATACTGAGAGTACAAAAGTGGGTAGAAAAAGACAAGGTCTCAGCCAGGGAATGTTTACAGTCTAGTAGGAGAGAGACAAATAATCTATTCTCACACATATTTGTTGAATAAATGCCATGAAGGAGAGGTACGTGGTGCAATGAGTCAATAACGGGGGAAATGGATCCAGTTAACTGGGACTGGAGGGAGTGAGGCTTAAGCCAAGTTCTAACGATAAGTTAATCTAACAAAAAAGAAAGTCAAGGAGGTTGTGTGGAGAGGGTAGAAGGGCAGTGTAGCTGCAATGCAGAGAGCAAGGCGGGTAGCATGGTGCAAGACAAGGCCAGAGAAGGTGGCAGGCGCCTGACTTGGAAGAGATTTGATCTATTTCTTACCCTAAGAGCAGTCAGCGATGACTGGGGTTTTGAAAATGTTTTCCTGGCTATAGCATGGAGAACATCTTTGAAGGGACCAGGGCAGATGCAGGGAGACTAGTTGGGAACCTATTAACATCACTTTTATCAAGGTGTTATCACTTGCATCCTAAAAAGTATACTGGCCTTCTCGATTTAGCTTTTCACATTCCTTTCAATCCAGACATCCCTGAACAATCTATTTGCCAAGTAGTAAAGTTTAGCAAGTCTCCGTGCTCCTGGGAGGCTACCTCTTTGAGAGGGTTAAGACTCTGTTCTAAATATCTGACGGCAGGCTGCGTATGATCTGTCATGATTCCAGGTTGGAGATTACTGAGGCAAAGTGTGATGGGAAATAAGCTTCTATTATTTAGAAAGTGGGGACATGCTAGTACTACAGAACTAAAAATACTGATTTAGGTGGAAAACTCAAGTTTTAATGGTAACATATTACTTCTGAGTTATTAGTCTCCACAAGCGTAGTTAAGATTCTAGTATTTTTATTCATTTGGTACTAAATATTGTAACTGGAAACTGATTCATTCAACTTTTGAAAAATGGTGCCCTTCGTAAAAGTATATTAAGGCAAACGTCGCTTGAGTAGGGACCTGTTTTTATTTAATGGCCTTCACATCTCATTTACATTATTTAAATCTTTCTCATGCAATACACCCTCTCTGGCCACAATGTTCTATTTAGAGATCTCAAAACATGCCATGTTCTTCATGCTTTTTCCTTGCTGCTCCCTTGCCTTATGAACACCTACTCATCCTTCAGCGTCCAGCTCAAATGTGGCCTGCTCTGTAGAGCTTTGCCCAACTCCCACAGCCAGAGCTAATTACTCCCTCCTCAGTGTTTCCATAGCAATGTGTTTATATTCTTATTATAGCACTCTGCATTGTGGTTAAGATGGCTGTTTATGCTTTCGTTTCCCCTGTTAGATTGCGAGGGCAGAAATTGTGTCTTCATTTTTTAATCCATGTAGCTGAGAACAATGCCTGGCACAAGAGGCACTCAGTAAATGTTTGCTGATGAACAAATGAGTGACTAAGACAAAGAAGAAATGTGCCATTGTGTAGACCTGCTTTTCAGCACATCACATCTTCGCAGCACATCATTATTTTCTCCATCATTACTTTCTCCATTAACACTGCTGGTTAGGAAGAAAAGTACACATTTTCTTCAGTTTAGCAAGTATAGACTAGTCCTTGGGAAAAAAACATGTCTATCTTATCCTGCTTTCTGTTCAGAGGAATTTTTAGGGTAAGGACAAACTTTCCAGGAGAAATTCATTCTCTCTTATCAACTACATAAACAATTATAAATACATCTTAAAATTTTATCTTGGGTTTTTTTTAATACCTTTCTTTAATTAAAGAAGAAAATTCCTAAATCTACAACTTTAATAATCGTGGATGTTATTCTTGATTTAATACAAAAAGATCACCAAGATAAGTGCCAAGATAAGTTCAGAACAAGAAATTCTGATTGGGGAAAAAAAAAGAAAGCAGAGATCATATCGCTGTATGTCTTTTGTACTTTGATTGATGCCTAGTATAGTGATAAGGCTATAGTAGATGCTCGTAAACACTAGCAGCTGTTAATCTGTGACTCACTTTTTTAATCTATCCAATGTATCTTACAAGCGAACAACTTCTCTTCTCACTCAAACATCTTCGCAAGTTAACTTTAAAAGCTCCCCACAAATTCATTAACTCCTAAGAAAATCTATCAATAGTATGGTTAGATCCATTGAGGTCATGTGAATAGCTGTGAGTTTATTTTTGGTGTGTGTCTAAGGGCTAGGGCAGTTTAAAAGACAAGCCTCTTGCTTGTTACAGATAACATGCAAGAACAACACGCAAGCTGGTATAAGTGAACTACTACAGTCCTAGCATTCATTTCCTTCTTTATTGTTTAGGACACAGAGAAGAAATAATCAACATCACTGCTCAATCATCCACATTCTTATGAAATGAAAGCATGTTAGATGGTTAGCTCTTGGGACTTCAGACTAAATCCGTTACACTCCTCAAGAGCCTGCATTTAGTAGGCAATCGATACATATTTGTGAAGGAATTAAATAACAATATACTTTACATATTCATGCAAAACCTAGTCACATGGGTTGGTCATACACTTGATTATTTTTCCCTGAAAGAATTAAATTCAGCCTCTTTGACGAAAATGGATACTTCCTTGAAATAAACACATGAACTTCTAATGGACTTTTGATTAAACTTTGGGAGCAGGATTTTCTGTTACAGGTTTAAGGATTACTAAAAGTAATTTTGATATATTAGTTTTCACATTATTTCACAACTGAAAAATGAAGCCAATTTATATTTGTTTAAACAATGGCAAAGGTTTTAAACAGTTTCATGCATTAAGTTACCATGTTCCAGTCTGTTTCAACTTTTCTGAATATGGATTCCATTTTCCACACACCATTCTCCCATCCAGAAATGGTTTGATTATTATCTGAAACTCGGACATAATGATCTTTCACAATATTATAACAAAGGTGGAGCTCTTTAGAAATCTTCTCATTTTCAGAGGGGATGAACAGGGTTTCTTTTCTCTTAAAAAGAAAGCAGAATTAGTTTTTCAAGGAAAAAAATACATATATAAACAAAGAGGAACTGCTATGTATAGTGGTAAGACATTCCTCCAACTTAAAAATGAAAAATTGGTGCCACTGGAAAATTCAAAAAAATATTTTTTTGTTCCTAGGGAAGATCAGCCCTGAGCTAACATCCGATGCCAATCCTCCTCTTTTTGTTTGCTGAGGAAGATTGGCCCTGGGCTAACATCCGTGCCCATCTTCCTCTACTTTACAAGGGACGCTGCCACAGCATGGCTTGGAAGGCGGTGCATCGGTGTGTGCTCGGGACCCGAACCTGCGAACCCTCGGGCTGTCGTAGTGGAGCGCGCACAGTTAACCGCTACACCACCGGGCCGGCCCCCAAAAAATGTTTTATAGTATGATCAGTACGATGCTAATACAGCACCAAACATTACTAGACAGAAAACAAGAAGTATGAACTATAGATCTGACTGAAATTTCTGTGATTTTGTGTTCAACCTGAATTCATATATTTTTTTTCATTTCCACCACCAGCACCATCTCCTAATTGGACTACTGCAATCGTCTCCTAAACCTGACTCCTAGCTTTCAACTCATACCTTGCCTATCCATGGTCCACATAGTAATGAAAGTGATTTTTAAACAATGTGAATTGGGATACATCACTTTCCTACTTAACTCACTCCACTGACTTCCCACTGTACTTAAACTGCAAACCTTTACCAAGGCTAAGAGGACCCTATATGATCTGTCCCTTGCCTACTTCTCCAACCAGATCTCACATTACTCTTCCCTTTTGTCTCTATGCTCTCATCATGCTACTTTTCTTTTAGTTCCTCAAAAAGGCCCAGCTCATTCTTGCCTCAGGGCCTTGACACATGCTGTTCCCTGTCTGGAAGGCTATTCTTTCTACTCTCCATATACCTGCTTCTTTCCCATCCTTAAGGCCTCAACCTGAAGTCATTTCATCAAAGTGTCCTTTCCTGACACCCTAAACTAGGAGAGTGCCTGGGATGTACAGCTTGAAACAATCTTCTGCATGTGTGAAATTACTACAAAAGCTCATATTTTACCTTAAAATTCCGGCAAATTTTGTGTTCTAGTCCAAAATAAATCCATGTTTGTTTTAATGTAAAATAGTCCCCTGAAATCACTGAGTGAATCTAAGGTTTGAGAAAGATGATATACTTATCCTGCATCTTTATGTGCTACTGACACAATGGCCCCTCTCCCTTAGCCATGGGCATAGCAGCAGTTTGGTCAGGTAATTCTGTGTGGTGGGGGCTGCCCTGTGCAGTGCAGGTTGTTTAGCAGCCTCCCAGGCCTCTGCCCACTAGATGCCACTGGTGACAACCACAATGTCTCCAGTGACTGCCAAATGTCCCCTGGAAGGCAAAATTATCTACTGTTGAGAACCACCACTCTAGTCTGTGTCAACTTCTTACCACAGTATTTACTAAACAATCAGGGTAGTAGGCAATGCTTTTTTTGTTAAACATTGGGTACTAGGTATTAAACAATATAAAAACTTCTCATGTACAAGAATCAACATGCAGAATATAAAACATCTTAGAGACAGAAAAATATTTATAAATGTATAAACAAGAAGATAATTTCCTAGTAGTATCTGTCATTATTACCGCCAAAAGATAAAAAAAAGCAGTTTGTTATTTTTAGAAATTTATTTTACAATTATGAATTAGTATACTACACTTGAAAAAAGCATGTAACAGTACTTCCCAATTCTTTTCTTCTCTACTTTATCAAAGATATTTCAGAGCACTGACATAAACCAAATGGAATTAAAATTTTAAAGTAGCATTATCTACTATATTACAAAGGATAACTAATTACCAAAGGGACAAGAAAAAATATATGTTACTGGACATATCATGTATGCAACTGAACAATCTGGAGTAAGAATAACATTCATATTTCATAAAATCTTCTTAATCTAAGATAAAACTTTCTTTCTGGAATGATATCACCAATGTTTCCTTCTTTTTCCAAATGATTTCTAGGGATAGTTGTGTAATTTTTTATGACTGACATTTTTGAATTTAATTTTCAAATAAACATCTATTTCTAAAGAAGAAAATGATTTTTTATATTTATTTTTTTAATTTCATTTATTTGTTTTCTTCCCCCAAAGCCCCAGTAGATAGTTGTATGTCATAGCTGCACATCCTTCTAGTTGCTGTATGTGGGACACGGCCTCAGCATGGCCGGAGAAGCGGTGTGTCGGTGCGCGCCCGGTGCGCGCCCGGGATCGAACCCAGGCCGCCAGCAGCGGAGCATGCGCACTTAACCGCTAAGCCACGGGGCTGGCCCGAAAATGATTTTTTAAATCCATGGCCCTAGTATGGTCTCCAGTAATTGAGAAATTTAAAAAATTTTCAAAAGGGAAAACAATTTGGGCATATGACCCAATTCATATTTTTAAAGTTTAATCAATTTATATGCCATGCAAGAGGAAGCACACATATCCATAAAAAGAAAAAGAAATGAAGACCTAAATAATACCCATGTTTTAAATTGAACACAGCTGTGAATTAAATTAGCTCTTTTAAATGTGCTTCATTTAGATTTATACTTGTAACTTGCACTGCATCAGCAGTGATTTGAATTATTTGTTGAATTTAGATCTTGTAATTCTATGGGTGAACCAACACTTCCAACTGCCTGCTAAAGTTGATGAGATAAGTTAAAAAGCAAACATAAAGTTTATCAGGAATAATTCACTGCTTTTGGACATATTCCTTTATTAGAGAAATGAGTTACAACAATGGCAAATTGAGAAAAAGTAGATATAAAACTTCAATTTGTTTCCAACTGTGTGATATTGATACTGTGATGGATTATTTTCCTTTCAAACATTTTTTATTACATATCTTCTTAGACATTTATATTAAATACTTTCTAGTGAGTCAACTGTAAGTTCCCTAGGGGCAAGGGACAGTTTATCGTACTTTCTCTATGTCCATTACAGAGCACATTGCTTTTTACCTTGCCCCTAACTATAAAAATTATACTTCCATTGTTCATTATTTAATTTTGGAAGATTAATCAAGTGATAATATCTTAAAATAAGTTTAACAATAGTAATCACACCAACAACAATTTCTAGCCAATACCAGATGTATGCAAGAATATAACAAGAAATAAACACCATCAGCTGAATTACCCAGGTTCTATTACTTTTCCCACTGTACTTTATAAAGTTTTCATATGGAAAAACAAAAAACAAAAAAAAGGTAAAACTGGGCTCTTTTAAATGCATTAAAATCTTATTTTGAAGGACTTGAAGAGGCACTTCACAAAAGAGGGTATCCAAAAGTTTAAACAACAGGAATTCAACTTCATTAGTCATCACCAAAATGCAAATTAAAATCACAGTATAATACTACTATCTACCACCAGAACCGCTAAAATGAAAAAGATAGATAATACCAACTGTAGGCAAAGATGTGAAAAAAATCTCATACACTGTTGGTGAGTGTAAACTGGCACAACTACTTTGGAAAACTGTTTGGCAGTATCTACTAAAGCTGACCATACTCATACTCTATTACCTAGCAAGTGACTCCTACGTATATACTCATCTGAAATGCATAAATATATTCACTGAAAACACGTATACGAGTGTTCACAGCAGCACAATTTTCAACAGCTAAAACCCAGAAACAACTCAAATACCCATCAATAGTGACACAGATAAATTGCAGTATATTCACTCAATGGAATATTACACAGCAACAAGAATAAACATACCGTAAACATGCAACAAGTATGAACCTCACTAAAAAAGTTGAGAGGAAGAAACCATTCACAGAAGAGTACACACTATACAATTGCATTTACATAAAGCACAATAACAGGCAAAACTAATCTACGACGTGAAAACCAGGATAATGGCTACTCTTAGGGGTGGGAAGCAATGACTGGAAGTGAACTCACGGTTGTTTCTGAGGTTCTGGTGGTCTATTTCTTATTCTGGTTGGTGGTTACAGGGTAGGGCTCAATTTGTAAAAATTTGTCAAGCTGTACACACTTATAACTTGTGCATTTTTCTGTATGTACTTCATATACTGCACTAAAAATTTACTTAAGGTAAAAAGTAGAAAAATCCCATTTTAAAATGCTTTGTTAACTCTTGTATGTGACTATACTACGTCAATCAACTATTGGTTCTCTTCAAATGTTTATATTTTTTAACAATTACTTTGAAAAGTTAATTGAAAGGTCATGGCCGATGCATTTTCCTGTAAGTAAAGAGCACAGTATAGGAAGCAGGAAAGTGAGAAGATTATCATGCTATAATGAACTAAATACCTGTAGACCCATTTCACCTCGGGCTACTCTCCAAGCCACTGACCCAGATATTCTTCCACCAAGTTCTCCAGGTTTAGGGGTTTTGGGAGATATAAACTCAACAAGCTCCACAATTATCCTCTGGAGAAGTTCTTTTCTTCTGTTTTCTGACAAAGATATTTGCCTCTGTAATTCATGTTTAAAAAAAAGTCATTGAGATTAGCAGAATGCAGAGGTCCATCTCTAAGTAAGAATATACTCAAAACATTTGTGTTTTAACAAATCTTCAAAGAAGTAACCAACTTTATTTTCATACATATAATTATTTGGAAAATAAAAAGGACACTGTGGAAACTTAGAATAATTTTACGAATTTTATGTTAAGAAATCATTCAAGAGCCATACCCAACTCTCCATGACCTTCACTGCCCTAGAGTTAAAATGGAGGTAGCATCTTCTGTTTCTGGCTATGATAGACTAGCTTGTGTCAGAGCAACTGCCCTGCTGAGAAAAGCAGGGGAAAAAAGACACAAAGACACACACATACAAACACCTGTTTGAATGCAACAGGAAGCTACCAAGGTAGCCAGAACTGAAGAGGCTAAGATCCAAGAAAAGAAATGAATTGAGGTGAACAGAACATACTGCACCTCTTTTCCCTTCTAGGCATTTGCCAATTATAAGTGGGTAAGGAGGAGAGGCTGAGAAGCCAAGCACAAAATGGAGGTTAAAGTGGTGAAAAACAGAGCAGAATTTTTAGCAGAATCACAGTGCTGGGGTGTAAATAACTTGGAGTTCAGAGCATTCCAAGGTGAGGAGCTCTAGTAAATACTCCAGAGATACTTCTAGGATCTCTGAAGGGCCACACATTAGAAGTAAGATGAAATTCCAAACAGACTGAAACCTCACCTTGACTCTCAATCACTGATTAGATTAAGGTGATCCACCCTATTCTAACTGCCTGCCAGAAGCAAAATTAGTTTGTTTTTTAAACTATGAAAAACAAACAAACAAACAAAAAACTCCACACATGTACATAGTAAAAAATTTCAATACTATCAGAGGGCTATAAAATAAAAACAGAATCTTCCCTCTTGGACCTCCACTTCCTCTTCTCAGAAGTAGTCATTGTTATCAATTTCCTGTGCCTTGTTTCAGAAAATTCCAAACTTAGACAAGTGTGTGTGTAACTATATTCAAGACACAATTACTTTGATAAATAAGACAACATACTTTTTATGTCAAGTATTACATATATATTTTTTTTTAAAGATTTTTTTTTTAATTTTATTTATTTTCCCCCCCAAAGCCCCAGTAGATAGTTGTATGTCATAGCTGCACATCCTTCTAGTTGCTGTATGTGGGACTCGGCCTCAGGATGGACAGAGAAGTGGTGCCTCGGTGCGCACCCGGGATCCGAACCCGGGCCACCAGCATCAGAGCGCGCGCACTTAACCACCAAGCCACGGGGCCGGCCCCTAAGTATTACATATATTGAAATTCTGTTTCACTGAACTTTGGGATGTGACAATGAGTCCTCAAAATTTTCAATGAACAAAAAGGCATTTAACATATTAAAATATTTTTTGCTTGCAAAATAATGTTATTACTTTAAGAATTTCAATGGGTTAAAAATGGGCTAGTCTTGATTTTATAAAAATTTGAAATGTACTCTCAAAAATGACAAATGCCCATCACTTACCTGCTTATTAAGTCCATTAATAGTTTCTCGAAGTAAGTCTTCTTTAACCTTAGTTCTTCTGGAGATTACCTCTTCATGTTTACAAGAATATCGCCAAGTGACATCAACCACCTCAAATTACAGAATACAAGTATTTAACAAGATTACAACCACCAACCTTAATTTGATAACTACCTAGAATGTATGTAATTCTTCAGTAGAATTTTAAAAATGCTATCCTTTAAAATTTTTAAAACTGTGGGAAAAAAATCCACAAGAAGAGAATGTACTTTTTATTCATTTTCTAAAAGGTACACTTCCAAAAAAGACTGTGATGAGAAGATGAAATTTTCAGAACATTTAGCTTTTTAAAACTTATCTACAAAGCTGATTTCACAAAATTCAATAAATAAAAACTCTCACATATTTATTATATTAAATTCATATTATAGATCTGGTTTTTGACAAAGGTGCAAAGACAATTCAATGGAGAAAGGATAATCTTTTCAACAAATAGTGCTAGAACAATTCATTGTCCATATGCAAAATAATGTATTTCAATCTACACATTGGACTATATACAAAAATTCACTCAACATGGATCACAGACCCAAATGTAAAACTAAAACTATAAAACTTCTAAAAGAAAATGTAGGAGAAAATCATTGTGGCTTGGGCTTGGCAAAAATTTCTTAGATACAGCATCAAAAAGCATGATCCATAAAAGAACAAATTGATAAACTGGACCTCATCAATTTCTCCTCTTCAAACTCACTAAGAGAATGAAAAGACAAGACATAGACGGAAAAAAATCTTTGCAAAGTATATATCTGAAAAAGGACTTGTATCCAGAATATATAAAGAACCCTCAAAACACAAGAGTAAGAAAAGGAACAATCCAATTAGGAAAAAAATGGGTGAAGAGGACATACGGATGGTAAACAAGCACATAAAAAGATGCTCTGTATTATTTGTCATCAGGGAAATGCAAATGAAAACCACAATGAGATACCACTACACATACATCTATGTAAAGGGCTTAAATTTAAAAGTCAGACTATACTAAGTGTTAGCATGGATATGGAGAAACTGGGAACTCTTATACACTGCTGGTGAGAATGTAAAATAGTTTAGCAGTTTCTTAAAAAGTTAAACATACACCTGCCATATAATCTAGTCATTCCACTTCTAGGCATTTACCAAAGAGAAAAGAAAGTATATGCCCATACAAAGACCTGTGCCTGAATGTTTATAGCAGCTTTATTTGAAATAGTAGAAAACTGGAAAGTACCCAAATGTCCATCAACAGCTGAATGAATAAACAAACTATGGTACATCCATACAATGGAATACTACTCAGCAATAAAAAGAAAAAACTATTCATACATGAAAACACATGCATGAATCTCAAAATAATTATGCTGAGTAAAAGAAACCAGATCCCTCTCCTCCACCTAAGAGTATATATTGTATGATCCCATTTATGTAAAACTCTAGAAATACAGATTAATCTATAGTCACAGAAAGCAGATCTGTGGTTGCCTGGAGAGGTGCAAGAAGGCAGGATAACAAACGGACATGAGGAAACTTCCAGGGATAGTGGATATGTTCACTATTGTGATTGCAGAGATGACTTCATAGGAGTATACAAATGACAAAATTTATTAAATTGTAAACTTTAAATACATACTGCTTATTGTATGTCAATTATGCCTTCAAAAGCTGTCAAAAAAGGGGAAAATTTATTACATTTTATTCTTAGAAAAAATTTTTTTCTCTTATGCCCTACCTCATCTTTAGAAAATGCTATGACATAGGAAAGCTTCTTGCCCCACCCTATTTCATAAAGGAGTGGTTTGTCACAGACAGCTTCACATGCATCACAGTGCAGCCACCGCTGCTGAGAAGGAGAAAAGACTTCCGTCCAGACATGGTCTACTCCAGTGAGAGACAAGGAAGCAACAGAAAAAAGAAAAGAAAAGTTAAGTTTATAAAACCAGAATGACTTCCAATAACTATATACAAACTCCTAGGATAAGAATCACACAATAATTTGTAATATTCTAAATTTTAGTTAATAAGACTGAGCATCTTGTGGCACACAATACTCGAGAACACTTGTTTTCTCTCTCTCTCTGAAATTCTTAAAAACGTTTTTGGATAATCTCCTTTAATGCAGTCAGTTTTAGGCTTCATTAAAAATAATGTGAGCTATAACTCTAATAAGGTAAACATATTGAACAATAGCATCAACAACAGGGCTTAGTTTGCCAATGTGAAGGAGTTAATGCCACTTTTGAAACTGCTGTTTCTCAACCTTTAAGACCCAGAACCAGCAAGAGGTCTAACAGAGGATCTCTGATTATGGATGTTCTATATTTGATTGTAAGACAACAATAATTAGTAAGGGAAGGTTTCATTTTTTCTAAAAAAACAACAGAAACACGAGTAAAAATCTAAGAACAAGGAAAAGAACTTTTTAGCATACAGATAACGAATCATTTCTAAATAAGGACAATATAATTTTCACGTGGCTTTTATTACATTTTTTTGTCTATTAAGATTTAAAATTACTAAATCTTTTATGCTAATCCCTATAAAAATGAAGATTTCTATAGCATATTATTACACATGTTCTTATACATATAGAAACAGCATTACTAAAAAGATCACGGTAAATTGTTAATAAAAGAATGCTTATAGTGCAAGGTACCAGGCAAAACACTAGGTGTCCTAAAAAAGTCTTGTGATCCCCACAAAAACCCTGTGAGGTTGCTACTCTTGTTATTTTACCGAAGGCAAATGGAGTTCAGACTGACAAGGCCAGAAAGGAACAAAAAATGACAGGCCTAGACTGTAAACCCAGATCCTTAAGTCTGCAAAGCCCCACTACTCTGCTCAAAGCACGTCTGTACCTGTGTAATCCCAAACATAGCGAGCTTCAAACCCTAAGGCTCGGCAGCACAGTGTAAAACAATTGGCCCACTCGCCACACCGTCCACATCTTGTTTCCAAAAGCTTCTCGGGGTTATTATACCTGGTTTAAAACAACAACCAAAAAAGCTTTGATTCATTATCGAAATCAAGAATTTAAGGAATTTATATTACCTCTGTGCTAAAAAATAATATTTCTTAATGTCTTATTCTTAAATAATGATTAAAGAGCCTAGAATATATGAGGCATTGTGTTAGAATCTTGGGTGAAAATGAGTAAACTAGTATAGCCTTCAAGGAGTTTAGAGTCCTAAGAGAGAGAAGGAATTAACACAAATTAACTTTAATACATGGCAGAATGTGATACAAACCACACAGCAGGTCAGATTTAGTGCTAGGGGAGAGTGGTTGGAGAGGAGAGCTTGTATTTGAACCAGGCCTTGAAGGACAGACAGGATTTGGACAGGCAGAGATTCTTTATGAAATCTGCTTTAACCATTAGTATTACTCTAACAAGTGGTATAATTAGCTCCCTGTATTTAAAAGGTAAACAACTTTAACAAACTACTCAATAGAGATTTTAAAGCTTAGTTGAACTCAATTTTACTTAAAATACTATTTTTCTTTCCAATGATCATTTTGATTGAAATTTTATTCTTCTGAACTACTTAAGGATGCTTGCTAATTTGGAAGTTGTTTTTTGAAAGATGTTTGCAACAGTCTTTAAGACTTATTCCAATTATAAAATTACCATAAAACTGAAGAACACCAAATCCTGCATATTGTGTTGAGAAGGATTTGAGCTGATAAAGCTAAGCAGGAAAAATGCTCCAGCTGAGCAGAGATGTGGGCCATGAGCTTGGGAAGGAAGGAAGGAAGGAAACAGTTGCATGAATGAACTGGCTCTGCTAGACATGTTTGTCTTAAGCAGATGCTCTTGCTTAAGCTAAGTTAAATGAATTTATAACTTAGGTAATTAAGTAATTAAAACAAGTTGTAAATTTACATTAAGAAGTAATAGCAGTGGAATTAGAGTATCTATGCCTTCATCTTCTATATACTACTTGTGCCAAGTTGAACAACCAGCTTAGCCCCTAACTAAGTGTTCATCATCCTAAACCTACACAGAGAACAGCTAACAGTAAAACAAGCAAATGATTAGAAAGGAAAAGATTAACACTTTGTAAAAATATCTTTGTTAGCCTATGACCCTCTACATTGCATTATCAGTTTACATCCAACTGCCTAGAAAGAGTTTATAAAGGAGAGGGATTTAATTACATATATTTTTAGCTTCAAATCTTTGCAAAGTACCTGTACAAATGTATACTGAATGAAGAGATAACTTGCACTAATTTTAGATAATTATTGGATATTGGATTCTGTTGATCCTATATTCTGTATACCATAGGGCTGATTCCTAGTTAGCACAGAACTGAGTCCCTAAGCTCCAAAAATTAGGTGTTTCAAAAACTTGGTATCTTTTCTTGCCTGAAGGTACAACCAAACTTTCTAAGTATTGCCAATTAAGAAAAGCTAATAAGAGGCTTGTAAATTAAAGGATGGAAAATGTTAATCGAAAAGTTCAAATTTCTTTAGTTTAGAATTTAGAGATATGAGGGTAGGTTAGGTTGGGCTGGGGAGGCATCTAATTAAAACAAATGTCTGTCGCTAAAAAGAAAATAATATGATGGTACTATATACTATGCTTCTACCTTCCATATTACCAGCTGATGATTATTTTAAGTACAGCATTGTATTTACTATCATAATTATTGGTATTATTATAATATGTTGTTAGTATTTTTATGTGCTATCAAGCGTTATTATTAAAGTTTAAAAATTAATATATTGAAAGAAGAATACAAGATTTACAGTGTTAAATGTGCTAGGACTATACTCAATTTATATTCTACACCAAGAGTCAACCAACTTTTCCTGTAAAGACAGTAAATAATTTAGACTTTGCAGGTCATACGGTCTCTGTCACCAGTATTCAACTCTCCCACTGTAATGTGAAAACAGTTGCAGACCATAAGTAAATGAATCAGCATGGATGTGTTCAACAAAACTTTATTTACAAAAATAGCTTGCCAACCCCTGTCCTAGAGGAATATATTTCTAATAATTAAAATGAAGATAAAAAGTTCATTTAATAAAAATTCTCTTCTAACCAGTCCATTAAGAGATTACTCTGACTCTACTGTCCAGTGGATACGCACCTTGGGAATCGAGTGCTGAACTGGCATGCATCACAGTAATGATCTTCTACTCTGTTCGCACCCCACTTCAGCTCATCCTCATTGGGGAATAATGATTCACCTCTAGACTTAGTCTGGCCACCACATTTGCTGCACAAAATGTCATTCACCCATTGAAAAAATTCTTCCTTAAACCAGTGTAAAAGCTCCAGCAAAAGAAAATCCTCTTCACTTACATTAGTACCTGAGAAGTTCAAACGGAACCAAGTTAAGATCTAAAGCTGATGAAAACTAAAAATATCCACACATTTTATTTTCAAGTATGGAGCTGAAATACATGAAAATATTAGATGATCTAAAAGGTTTTCACAAATATGATGCAAGAAAGAACTGTCAGTATATTGAGAACCAGGCTGAAATACAATGACATAATACACTGCACGTGTAGACAGTGGGAGGTTTACCACTCTGGGCTCTAACTGACATTACACATTAACAAGGGAGCTGAACACAACCACCTCTCACACAACTATGGTCAGTTTGGAATTGATCCCGAAACACATGGAAGGTAAGAAAATAAGTCTGATTTTGAAAAATATTTTAAAATAACTATATTAAATTTGTTATCAAGTATATATACAAGTAAATATGAAACAATCACAAAATCACAGAAATCACAGAATTCCAGACACTTTAAAAATCATCCTATTAGCTTTTCTTTTTTTTATTTTTTGTTTATTGCAGTAACATTGGTTTATAACATTGTATAAATTTCAGGTGTACATCATTATACTTCTATTTCTGCCTAGATTACATCATGTTCACGACCCAAATTCTAATTACAACCCATCACCACACACTTGTGCCGAATTATCCCTTTCACCCTCCTCCCTCCCCTCTTCCCCTCTGGTAACCACCAATCCAATCTCTGTCTCTATGTGTTTGTTGTTGTTATTATCTACTACTTAATGAGGGAAATCATACGGTATTTGACCTTCTCCCTCTGACTTACTTCACTTTGCATAATACCCTCAATGTCCATCCACGTTGTCACAAATGCCTGGATTTCATCCAAGAGCAGGAGACGTAGCTTTTCTATTACTGCTTCAACCATACAATACAATCCATCCATGGATATTCACCACAAAACACACAAAAACATAACCATGCCCATATTATACATAACCACCTCAGTAAGTAAGCATGACATATAACGTTATATCCACTTTATCAAATAAAAAGATCTCTCTTGACCATATTCAAAACTGTGGTATAGCATTTAGAATAGAGAAAAATGGTAAACAATCTCAATGTCCTTCAATAGGCAACTGTATAAATAATTGTACATGCATACTATAGAACACTATGGAGAGCTAAAAAGATTTTTAAGACATGTTAGTAAATGAAAACCATCAAGGAGCTGAAGATACATGGAATGATAAAAATTTTATGTAAACTCACACAACTTAAACTATTTTTATAGATGACTATTTACGGGTATAAACACATAGGAAAAGATACAAAAAGGAACACATCACATGGTAAGAGCTGTTATCTAAGGAAGAGGAGTAGGACTGATTGGCAGGGAGAGTTTAGCTTTTCCTGTATAATATGAAAGTTTTCCAACAAGAAGATATTCTTGAATGCTAGATTAAAATGAACTGTTAGAAATACAGCAATGCCATCCTCTTTGAGTCCCTACAGCAGCCAGAGTGATCTTTTTAAAGATGTAAGGTAGATTATGTCACTCAAAACCCTCCAATGGGTTTCCATCTCATTCAGAATGCAATTCAAAGTCTCTACTCTTGTTCTTTCAGCTGGCCCGCTGTGGTAGGCTGAAAAATGCCCCCCAAAAGATATCTACATTCTAACTCATGGAGCCTGTGAATGTTACCATATGTGGCAAAAAAACCCACAAAAAAAACGGTCTTTGCAGGTATGATGAAGTTAAGGATTTTGAGATGAGGAGATTATCCTGGATTATCTGGGTAGACCTTAAACGCAATCACATATATCCTTAAAAAAGGAAAGTAGAAGGAAATTTTACACACACAGAGAAGGCGATGTGAAGGCAGAGCAGAAAGAGATTTGAAGATGCTGGCCTTGATGACTGGAGTGATGAAGCCACAAGCCAAAGATCGCAGATAGCCACTAGAAGCTGGAAGAGGCAAGGAAAAGATTCTCCCCAGAGCCTCCAGCGGGACGTGGCCCTGTCGACATCTTGATTTCAGCATAGTGATAGTGCTTATGGACTCTGGCTTCATGAGAGAATAAGTTTCTGTTGTTTTAAGTCACCAGGTTTGTGTTATAGCAGCCACAGGAAACTAATATACCCCCTATACATCTCTTGACCTCTTTCTGTTTTGTTCATTCTGCTACAGCCACAATGTGCTCCCTGCCATCCCTTAAACATGCCCAGCTCACTCCCACCCCACAGGGCCTTTGCAGATGCCAATGCCCTCTACCTGAAAGGAAAATCACTGCTCTCCAGAGAAGCCTTTCTTGACAACCCTATACCAAACAGGATTCTTCCTAGTCACTTTCTATTCTGTTATCCTAACTTGTGTGTCTTCCTGGCACTTATCCCTACCTGCCATACTTGAGTACTTGGGGTTTTTTTGTGTGTGTCTAACCCCATGATAGCAGGGACTTTGTTTTGGTCACTGCTGTATCCCCAACACCTAGGGCTGTGCGTGCTGCACAACAGGTGCTCAGTAAATATTTGAATGAATGAGGGAAGGACTAAACAAGCAAGCAAGCCTCATACAATCATTTACTTATTTTTATTGTTTCTTTCTTTCTTCTTCTTTTTTTTTTTTGGTGAGGAAGATTGACCCTGAGCTAACAAGTGTTATCAATTTTCCTCTTTTTGCTTGAGGACAAGTGTCCCTGAGCTAACATCTGTGCCAATTTTCCTCTATTTTGTATGCGGGACACCGCCACAGCATGGCTTGATGAGCAATGTGTAGGTCCACGCCCAGGATCTGAACCCATGAACCCCGGGCCACTAAAGTGGAGCATGGAAACTTAACCACTACACCACCAGGCCGGCCCCTTCTATTTTTGAGTGCGAAAGAATATGTAGTAGTCCTCCCCTTATCCGCAGTCTCGCTTTCCACAGTTTCAGTTACCCACAGTCAGTCATGGTCTGAAAATACTAAATGGAAAATTCCAGAAATAAACAATTCATAAGTTTTAAATTGTTTGCCGTCCTGAGTAGCATGATGAAATGTCACACCATCCTGCTCCATCCCACCCAGGATGTGAATCATCCCTTTGTCCAGCGTATCCACACTGTATACACTACCTGCCCTTTAGTCACTTAGTAGTGGTCTGGGTTAACAGATCAACTGTTGTGGTACCACAACGCTTGTGTTCAAGTAACCCTTATTTTACTTAATAATGGCCCCAAAGCCAAACTTATTATTAGTTATTGTTGTTAATCTCTTACTGTGCCTAATTTATAAATTAAACTTTATCACAGGTATGTATGTATAGGAAAAAACACAGTATGTATCTAAGGTTTGGTACTATCCACAGTTTCAGGCATCTACTGAGGGTCTTGGAACTCATCTGCTGTGGATAAGGGGTATGTACAGGACTACTGTATATGTGAATCTTATAAGTCATACTCTGATGTGATGAAGTTATGGATGGCTTATCATTCCCCTATTTTCCAAACTTTCTATATAAAACATGTATTACTTTTACAATTGGAAGGAAAAAAATGCCAGGGCAAATGTCACTGGGGACAGGGCTGTTTCCCCTGCAGGGCTCAGGCCCAATGACTCACACACAGAACATGTTCAGTAAGTACCTGTTGAACAGGCATTTATGTCAGGCATCGTATAAAGGACCATAGTACTTTAAAGTGGACAGGACCTTTGTGAACACATATTAATAAGCATTCTTACTTTACAAATAAAAAACCCCTGTTAATCCAAGAAGATGAAGAACTGTCTCAAGGTCTCACAACAAATCTGTAGCTGAATTAAGTCTAAAGCCCAGACCAGTCATCAAATACAAGGAAATGACACCATATAAAAACCCACCAAAACACAAGGAATAGCAAAATATCTAAATGACATATGTGAAAAGTCATTAAATGGTTAAAAAAGGGAAAGAGACACACAGTTAATCCCTCAGAGGGACTTCCAGTTTCAGCTTTGACATGTAAAGAGCTAAGAAGTTGTCATTCCCATCCTTCCAACAATAAAAAGCTGAACAAACCAAAAATCACTGACTTTTCTTGGACCCATCAGAGAACTGAGTTCACAGGGTGAATCATCACCCTGAAATCAGGAAAAATGGCCAAATACAGAGAATCTCGGCCAAATGTAGAGAATCACAGCCAAGATTTGAAACACGGAGCAGAAGTCACTGGAGCCATAAACTGGTAGAAACACTTACATGGTAATTTTGACAAAATGCTGGAGGCTGAATATGGACTAGTTTGCGAGTGAGAAACACAATCTTGGGAGGGGTCGCTAACACTTTTGTGGGTTTTCCCTCCAAGAATCCCACCAGGTTCTCATGATGAAGACCCAAAAAAGATCCCCTCACGGCTCTGGGAAGGAGAGGGGAAGAGTAAGAATTGTCAAGAACACCAGAGTGCTCTCCACAATTAAGGCCTACCCTCCAGGGAGAAAGATTTTACCAGAGTCTTATCTGAAGTGGGGAAAGGGCATTTCCCTGACTCCAGCCCTCTCTAGCTTTCTATCTCACCTATGGGGGAAAAGAGTTAAGAAAGACTTGTGAAGGCCACAGGCCTGAGGTGGATACATGCCCACGAAACACTGAGATTTAATCATGAGATTATAAATGCCTCCCCCCTACCATGCCTCACCACCATACCAACAGAGCTCCAGTATAACAACTGTGGATCACAACTAAAAGATATGGAGAATGCAGACTCTATCTAAGGACGAGTTCTTTGGGAAGCCCAAAGACAACAGGGGAGATGATAAGAACACCAGGGGAATCTGAAGCCTCTGACAGCTACAGCAAACACTAAACATGGTCCAACTCCTAGTTAATGAATGTAAAACCTTACACAAAAGGCTTGTTTACCTCAGCTCCTATTACCCAATACATCATGTCCAACTTTTATCAAAAAATTACAAGGCATGCTAAAAGGCCAAAAAAAAAAAAAAAAAAAAAAAACAGTCTAAAGAGACAGAATAAACATCAGAACAACAGGGAATTTAAAATAATAATTATTATGTTAGGGACCCTAATGAAAAAAGTAGACAACATACAAGACAGGTTGATAATGTAAGCAGAGTGATGGAAACTCTAAAAAAAAAATTTAAAGGAACATGTTAGAACTCAAAAACATTGTAACAGAAATGAATACCTTTCATGGGCTCATCAGTAGACTGGACCCAGCCAAGGAAACAATCAGTGAACTTGAAGATGGGTCCATAGAAACCTCCCAAACCGAAAATCAAAGAGAAAAAAAAGAATAAAAAAAAAAAGAACATCTAAGAACTATGGGAGAATTTAAAAATGGACCAGAACATCTAAAAACTGTGGGAAACTGAGGCACAAGAGATACATGAAGGTAAAACAGAATACCTTCATTTTGGAATCCCAGAAGGAAAAGAGAGAAAGGAGTAGAAGAAATATTTGAAGGAATAATGGCCAAGAATTTTCCAAAATTAATGAGACACCAAATCACAGATCTAGGAAGCTCAGAAAACACCAACCAGGACAAATACCAAAAAGCTACACCTAGGCATGATATATTCAAACTGAAAAAAACCCAAAAACAAAGAGAAAATCTTGAATGAAGGTGGCGATGGTGGATGGGGCTGGGGTGTGTTTGGGGGAAACCTTACCTAAAGAGGAATAAGGATAGGAATTATAGCAGACTTCTCGTCACAAATAATGCAGGCAAGAAGAGGGTGGAGGGAAATATTCAAAGTGCTGTTGAAAGAAAAAACCTCACCAACCTAGAATTGTATATCTCAGTGATATTATCCTTCGAAAGTGAAGGAGAAATAAAGACTTTTCTCAAGTAAAGAAAAACCGAGGGAATTTACCTCTAGGAGACCTGACCTAAAAGAAATATTAAAAGAAGTTCTTCAGGAGGAAGGAAAATGATATAAGTCAGAAACTCCAATCTACATAAAGGAAAAGCATCAGAGAAGGGAAAATTAAGGTAAAATAAAATGTTTTATTTTTCTTACTCTTACTTGGTATAAAAAAATAACTGTTTAAGTAACAACAATAGTAATATATTGGGGGATTATTGTACATGGATAAATGAAAGGAATGACAGCAATGTCATAAGGGATGGGAGGGAGGAATAGGGTCAATTCTGTTAAAAGTTCTCTGTAGTATACATGAAGTAGTATAGTGTTTTTGAAGGTGGGCTTAGATTAAAGTGTTTACCGCAAACTAGGGCAACCACCAAAAAGATATTAAACAATCAGAAAATATAGTATTAAGAAATGACTTAGATAAAAACCAATTACATAAAAACTCAAAATAAAAATGCTGAAGTTGGAATAATTTAACAACTAAAATCCCAAGACCATTAATGATAACAACATATAATTATTGGTTGATGAATGTGGCAGGCACTGTTCTGAGCTGTTTACATATACTATCTCATTATTTCTTAAAATTGTCATTCCTATTTTCAAATGAAGAAGTTGAGGCATAGAGATTAAATTACTTGCTCAGTGATGCACAGTAAGTGGCAGAGCTGAATTTGTACCCAGACAGTTGGCTTCAAAATCCAGTCTTAATTAGTAAACACTGTCTTTCTATTAACCAAAATGAGTCATATTGATTAGTTTTGAATACAGTTTCTGTCGGATTCGCGTTAAAATTCACTAATAATGCCATCATATATTCCATGGACTGAAGTTCTACTATACCTAAAAAAATTTCACATACCGATGATTAAACTGCAAGTACATTTTCAGGTAAAAAAAAATTTTTTTTTAAAAATTAACAGATGTGACCAGAAGGTAGATGCAATAAAATTATACTATTGTTGTACTTCTTAAAAATCCAAATGGAAATAAATTCGATATTTACAACATATACAGCAAAAGGCATCATTTAGTGCTTCCATTTATTTAGCAATGATGCATATTTAGCAACAAATGGTTATGTAAAGCTGCTACCTTTATCCAATTTTCTAGCTCTAGATAAATTTTCTTGCGATCTCCTTTTTAGTTCTTGGACTGGAATACAAGCCAATGCTTTCTTCTGGAGAGCAAGGTTCTCATACACCAGCACATGCTGAATGTTGGACTGAAGAACTTTCAAAATGACTGAATCAGCAGTAACCTAATAGAAAAAAAATAGAAATTAGTTTTTCCTCATATGCTATGAAAAGAACATATAATAAAAACCACTGGTTCTGATTTCATAAAGAAGAATGTACGGATTCACTGAAATATAATAATTATACTCAAAACTTTAACAAAAATAGTACTAGGAGACAGCCATATCTGTGTCACAGTCTAAGATAAATCTATTTTTTTCCTTTAAATATATTATTGAGAATATATTTCAACAGGGATATGCTGAATTCTTGACCTCAAGCTTGGATCAAGATAGCACTCTGAGCAATGCATTTGACAGCCTTTTCTACTTCAAATCCCTGTAAACAACATAATTTTCTAAAACTCTATACAGCATTAGCAAAGGAAGAGTACTCTTAAAGAGGAAAGGCAGATACAAATGGACTAAAGGAAGAAATCACGGCAATATGCCCTCCAGAGAGAGTCATTATAAAAACTAAAAATGCTCTCAAAATAATCCCAAGAGCAGTCAGAATGGCTATAATTAACAAGACAGGAAACAAGTGTTGCGGAGTCTGTGAAAAGAAGGGAACTCTCATACACTGCTGGTGGGAGTGCAAACTGGTGCAGCCACTACAGAAAACAGTATGGAGATTCCTCAAAAAATTAAGGATAGAAGTGCCATATGATCCAGCTATTCCACTTCTGGGTATTTATCCAAAGAACATGAAAACACCAATGCGTAAAGATACATGCACTCCTGTGTTCACTGCAGCGTTATTCACAATAGCCAAGACTTGAAGGCAACCTACCTGCTCATCAAGGGATGAATGGATGAAGAAGATGTGGTATATATACACAATGGAATACTACTGAGCTATAACAAACGATGAAATCCAGCCATTTGTGACAACATGGATGGACATTGAAGGTATAATGCAAAGTGAAATAAGTCAGAGGGAGAAGGTCAAATACCGTATGATCTCACTCATTAAGTAGGAGATAAAAACAACAACAAACACATAGAGACAGAGATTGGATTGGTGGTTACCAGAGGGGAAGAAGGGAGGGAGGGGGATGAAAGAGATAATTAGGCACATGTGTGTGGTGATGGATTGTAACTAGTATTTGGGTGGTGAACATGAGAACATGATGTAATCTATGCAGAAACAGACATATAATGATGTACACCTGAAGTTTATATAATGTTATAAACCAATGTTAGTGCAACAAGGAAAAAAAAAAAAAAGAGGACACCTGGACACAGGGAGACATCAGGGATGCGCATGCACAGCAGAAAGACCATGTGAGGACACACCAAGAAGGGACCCATCTACAAGCCAAGGAAAGAGGCTTCAGAAGAAAACAAGCCTCCCAACACCTTGATCTTGGACATCTAGCCTTCAGAACTGTGAGAAAATAAATTTTTATTGTTGAAGCCAAAAATAAATAAATAAATAATCCCAAGAGCAAAGGATCCAGAGGATCCACAGAGCAGGAAGGGGCCTTGGAGCAAGCATTAGGGAGACTGGCTGGGCTCTGCAGGAGGAACAGCTAGACATTCTGGTGTCCCCCCCGACCCGTTTGTCCACAAAGAAGCGTGCCTCTGAGCAGTGAGGGAGGATGCTTAGATTCTCAAAAGGAAAGAGGAGTGTCCGAGCTCAGAACGGTTGCTTCTGGTACGGCATGTCCTGCCCCTCCCCACAGTTGCTAGAAACAGATGCAGTATTCGCATTTAGGAACTCTCAAATTCATATGCATCTACAACAACCCATCCTATTAGGAAGATCTGTCAGAATCAGCATGAGAGGACCTAACCCTGTAGCAACAGCAGCAAATACAGAAAAAGACTAAAAGTCTATCTTCAGAGATTCAAGAGTATACTATAGACGACTATATACTAAGACAACTTTGGATCTTGAAAATTAAAAATTTAAATACTGAAATAAATAAGAAAGCACATACAGTATCAAACAGTAGAATAAACATAGCTAAAGGGTGATCAATCAATTAGAAGACTGAGCCAAGACATTTTCTGAGAATGCAGCACAAAAAGAACAAATGGACATTAAGGATAAATTCAAAAGTTCCCAAATCTAGCTAACAGGAAGTCTAGAAAGTAGAGTAGAAAAAAATGAGAGAGAAACTTCTCAAAGAAATAATGGAAACAAATTTCTGAGAGTTAAAGAAAGAGCCAGTATGAATGGAAAAAAAACCCTAGGCATATAATAGTGACATTTCATAAAAGTAAAGACAAAAATAAAATCCTAAAAGCCTTCAATAATATCAGAGATCTTATTGGAAACAATGAAGTAAAATCTTTGAAATTCTGAGGGAAAATGACTGGGAATGTAGGATTCATACTCAGCCAAACTAATCACATAGAAGAGCAAAATAAATACATTTTCTGATACGTAACAACACAGAAAGTATACCACTCCCAAAACCAATCAAAAAGAATTATTAGAGAAATTATTGTCCCCCCAAAATATAATATAGCCAAAGTAAATAAATAGAACACCAAGGAGTAGAACCTGGAGTTAAAAGAAAAACAAACCAAAACACCAAACTAATAAAATTTAAGTTCTTATTGTTATAAATAAATAATCATAACTGAAAAGCAAAATCTCAAATTTTCTCATAAGGAAGGTGGCAGGGAAGGGAGCAGAAAGAGAGTAAAATCTTTTTGAGGTTCCAGTCTTGTCATAAGATGTTGGCAGAAAAATATAAAAGTAAATATTTGCATTAAAAATTTAATGGCAATAATTAGAAGACTAAAAAGAGGATATTTAACTTCGTAACTATTAGAAGGAATATAATGGAAGAAAATTTGATCAATCTACACGAACCAAAAATAGGGAAAAAAGAAAAAAGCAAGAAAGCAAGGACATAGACACAAAATAAGATGTCAGAAATAAGTTCAAACATATTAGCAATTACAGTAAATACGAATGGGTTAAACGTGTATATTAAAAGGTGGAGACAGATTAATTAAAAACAATAAAAGCCATTACCAAATACTTAATGTCAGGTACTGAATTCAGTACTAGGGATGGATGTACGAGACAGACATGATCACTCCACACTCTAAGGGAGGAAAGGCATTAAACCAAGAATGACAGAACTACCACATTAAGTCCACAAATATTTGACTGTGTGTAAGGGTGTGTGTATATGTATTAGATATTGGAAGAATAATGGAGGTCAAAGTAGACAAGGACATTATCCCCACAGAGTAAGTATAAGTCTATCGATACAGAAAAAAGTACTGATATAACAATGTTCATTTACTCAAATATTTAACGAGCCTTTATTATTTGCTAGGTACTGGGGATACAGTAATAAGTCAGACAATTTATTCATAGGTATTTGATAAGAGTTATAAAACCAATATAGAGGATAGTGAGACTGTATAATGGGATTCTAAACCTAGAAGAAATGACATTTGTGGTAAAATATGAAAGATGAGAAGAAGCTAGTAAATAGGGAGGGGAAAGACTATTCCTGTCAAAAGAGCACGCAGGTAGCTGGGATGTGTGCATGCAGGGGGATAAGCTTAATATATTGTGAAAGATCAGACAGAAGATCAGGGTGTCTAGAACATAGCAAACTAAGGGGAAAATGGTGGAGAGGGAAAGCTGAGGATGAAGATGGGTTGATAAGGTAGCTCGATCTTTCCTATCTCTTTCCATTGTAATGGGAAGCTATTAATTACACAAGGGAGCAAAACGATCAGATTTGTGTTTTCAGAATATCACTCTAGCTGTAGTGTGGAGAAAGCAGATATCAGAAGACCTAATGGGGGCCAACTACAGAACTCTGAGACGGCTGGTGGCTTGAACTAGGGTGGTTACGGTAGTTGTAGAAAAGTGAACGGATATGAAAAGAACTTAGGAAGTACAATCAACAAGTCTTGGTGACTGAACTGTGGAGTCAGGGGGCACTTGGAAAAGTAGAAAAATACGTGGGAATGATCCACAGATTTTTGATATGACCAAAAGGGTCAACAGTTGAACCACTTATAGTAGGGAAAAAACCAGGAAACGATCAACTCAGCTAAAAACTACATATGGTCAAGTAGAAATGAACTGAAAAAAAGTCCATTAAATTTAGCAGCATGGAGATTGCTGACGATCTTAGTAAGAAGTTTTGCAATAGCGTTAATAAGGAAAACAAGCTGTAAGAGACTTAGTTGTCTAAGTGGTGTCCCAAAGTGGGCTAAGTGCACCAAAGGAGCTGTACAAAATAGTCCACTGGAATGTGGACAGAAAATATTAGAACTTCTATTTATATTATTTTTTTGTTCAAAAAGCAATTAAGTTATAATAATATTTAATATTTGGATTAACAGAGGCTCCCTCTCAGGCTAGAGAAGTTATCTCAAGTGAAGAAAGTACCACAAAGCAGAGGGGTTAACAGAGGCAGGGCTCAATCCTATTTCTGCTCTCACAATGTTACAAAGTTTTGCAGTTCAAATGCATTCCATTAAGTGGATTTACAGATTATACTATGTAGTTTTAACTAAATTAACTCTTAACTTGGCTTAAAAAAGATTACAAAGACCTCTACGCATTGAGGCTAATACTAATAATGTAAGCACATGTGAAGAAGAAGAAAATGGCAGGGCTAACACATCTTCTACTTTTCTAGTATAAGCCCTTCAACAGCTACATTTTAATGGGGGAAAAAATCACAATCTGCTGAGATCTGACAAAGTTAGCCCCCAAATTCAAAATTATCGATACTATTTAAAATATAGATTAATATTCACATTCATTAGATGACATACTGTTAATATATGTATATATTTTTGTGTGTGTGTGTGTGTGAGCAAGATTAGCCCTGAGCTAACATCTGTCGCCAATCCTCCTCTTTCTGCTGAGGAAGACTGGCCCTGGGCTAACATCCATGCCCATCTTCCTCCACTTTATATGGGACGCCCCCACAGCATGGCTTGACAAGCAGTGTGTTGGTGCGTGCCCGGGATCTGAACCCTAGAACCCTGAGCCGCCGCAGTGGAGCACGCACACTTAACCGCTACGC